ACCATTCGCGTGTGGATTCTCCACTATACCCTGAGCACTGGTATACGAAGAAGTAGAGTGGCAAAGATTCTCACACGTCGATGTGCCATGGATATCGGCGCCCGCTTCGAGCAACCGCGTCACAACCGTCGCATCCACAGTCGGTGTCCAGGAAGGAATGATATCGCTACCCAGAAGCTGCGGCACACCCGCAACCGCAATAACATCTTTCAAACTGACGGACTTACCTGCCAGCCGCCCGCCTTCGGGATTACCCCGGATCAGAAATCGGTGCGCCCAGGCTTGCCCGAAAACCTGTTCTTCTCCACTTGGTCGACGCACATTCTCCCGTGGATACTTGGTTTGATCGGGGACTGGTTGGTAGTCTGGCAAGGCGGCTATGCTTTCGGCGCAGTCGTGGACTGCTGCGAGAAGGGTGTGGAAATCTTGCGCTTCGGCCGGGTCGATTGTCAAACCGAGCGGTTTGAGGAGGGCTTCCACATCACCCGGCTTGACGGGGTTGTTCCTATAACAACGTTCAGTCAGATTATGATGCAATCACGGAATGTCGAAATACTTACTCTGAAATATTTGTGAAAAGAACTGACATTATCACCCTATGACACCGTTGGATACGTTGCGATTGTCCTCTGGGGCTGTCACGGTTTATGAGGAATTCGTGTTAGGTTTATTCCCTGCTCGTTCAATTTTCTCCAACACTGTATATCTTGGAGTCCATTAAATTGGGTCTCACTGCCTCCCTGGAGACAATACCTACTCCAACAAAGACCCCAATTGCGTTGGAGACCTCTCATCGTGAATGGAGTCCACCAAGAGATAACGTGAATGTTGTAAGCGAATGGAAAACCGTGCAAATTAGTGAATCGGGGAGTCAGGTGAAGGTGGAATTGTCGGCCGGTCGGAGATGTGCCCGAAGGGCTCTTCCCCGCATTCACTCGGAGCTATTCATCCTCGAGAAATTTCCCTTTCAAGTTTGAATCATTCAACAATGGCACCAAAGCGAGTTCTTATTACCTATGGGGTGGATGTTGATGCTGTAGCCGGTTGGCTGGGCTCATATGGCGGAGAGGATTCCACAAACGACATCAGCAGGGGTAAGTTTCAATGTTCTCTTTCTGGGATTTAGCTAACGATCGTATAGGATACTGGGCAGGAACCATTGGAACACAACGATTGTTGAAACTGTTTAAGAAATATGATATCAAGACCACATGGTTCATCCCCGGCCACTCCCTCGAGACCTTCCCGGAGGACATGGCCGCAGTCCGCGATGCGGGCCACGAGATCGGCCTGCATGGATACTCCCACGAGAATCCAACAGACATGTCTCTAGAGCAGCAGCGCGATGTGCTCGACAAAACATATCGGATGTTGACCGATTTTGTTGGCAAGCCTCCTCGAGGAAGCGTGGCACCCTGGTACGACTGCTATCTTGAATTTAATATTCATCAACGGCGCTAATCAAATTCAAATAGGTGGGAAACTAGCAAAGAGGGGGCCCAACTCCTCCTCGACTATGGCATCGAGTATGACCACAGCATGAGCCACGAGGACTGCCAGGCCTACTACCTCCGAACAGGCGACAGCTGGACAAAGATCGATTACAAGCAAAAGGCTGAAACTTGGATGAAGCCTCTTGAGCATGGACCCCAAACAGGGATTGTGGAAATCCCGTCCAACTGGTACATTGATGATCTACCGCCGATGATGTTCATCAAGAAGGCGCCTAACAGCCATGGTTTTGTCAACCCACGGGACGTGGAGGATATCTGGCGCGACCATTTTGACTACTTCTATCGGGAATATGATGAGTTTATCTTCCCGATTACTATCCACCCCGATGTTTCGGGAAGACCTCATGTGCTACTGATGCATGAAAGGTATGATCTGATGATAACCTTGCGTGGAGTATGACTGACGTTTGATAGGCTGATTGAACACTTCAAAAAGCACGAGGGCGTGGAATTTGTGACGATGGAACAGGTTTGCGACGACTTCAAGAATAAGAATGCTCCTCCGCCTGGGGCATTGATGCCTGCGAAGTCTGGTGCGATGTTAGAGAAGTCACCAGATCTCATCGAAGCTATGAAGAGCATACCTTGATAGCTTCTTAATTGGACAACAAATAATGGCCCCTGCTCTGGTCATTGATATATATCGGTGGCCAACCATCCTTTTTCATTCAATATGACCCGTACCTCAAATCAATACCTCGGACCTATTAGTTGTTATTGACGCCAAGATGGAGCCATCGGATTGATTAGACTGAGTTGAAGATCTATCTCCACGTCTCTATTAGCAGAGGTCTACCCCAACATAGATAACTACATCTTACATACCCCAACCATGCATACCCCAAATCAAGTATCTCGCCACCCAATCAGACTTCATCACGGATAAAGCGCGAGTCATTGGCAGACTAGGTGATACGTTACGGGCATTCTTTTCAGGCGAACTATACGATTGTCGCGCGTCAAGTATCATTGGAATGTCGACGATGTTCAAAGCCCTATTTCTGCATTCCATCTGCACCATCATGTTCACCTTGACTGGAACGATAGTCATTGGTTGTGTGTTAAATAACGCAATTTCTTGCAGATATGGTGTAGCTCATGTACCTTGGGCTTGAGAGTATCTGCATGACTGGCTATATGATTGAGTACGTGCAGCACCCCCGATAAGTGCACGTCCAATAAAGAACAAGAATATGGACTAGTACGTACCCCGTGGTATTAAAAAGACCGACCAGCCACAGCACCACTGGCGAATTCGAGCTCAGATAGCAAGTCTTCGATCCTCGCCTCACAGGAATCGCGGCCACTGTAACCGTATTCATCTCCAACGCCGCAAAATATGCACATCCTTTAGGATCTCCGACACGAGGCGTCACAAACGGAGCACTGAGGTCCGAGCACTGCCACGGTCCCCAGCATGCGGGGTTCAGATGCGTGTGAAAGAAAGAGGAAGACAAAAAGCAAAAACAGCCTTACTAGGACTGTTTTTTTATTTGCTGTATAGCCCAAGGCTGACCTTGCTCTAGGGACATAAAGTCCTGGTAGCAACGTGTCCGTTCAGTCCATGCGTATCTCTGGGATCTAAATAGCCCGTTTCCATCACAAGAATCTCACCCTTTTTAACAGCGACATTTACATCTCTTTGGCGGCTCGAAAGAAATGGCATATCCTTATCAGGCACTCAGGCCAGAAATGCACGAGATCCGACTGCTGACTCTCCATCCAGACACCTCGAGTCCTCTGGGTGGACTTTGTCTGCGTCATCAAATCAACATAAGAGAAAGGGATAGCCAGATCTTTCTTATGCGCGAGATTGATGTCAGAGCTAGCCGCGTGGTAGCCTTGATGGGAGCGTCCACACTCCGGATCAATCGGGGCTTCTCATGGCTGGACAGGCATATTTACAAAAGGGTCAATAGGGGAGCCCGTTACTGGTGGAAACTCGAAATGAGGGCGGTGTTTTCTGGCAGCGCCAGACGCGAAAAGCAAACTGCGACAGTGCTGGCGTATTGGACTCACATGTGGACCTTTCAGGAGTATCATCTTCCCAAAGACGAGCCGATCAGTGTCTGCGGCAGCCATGTTTTTACAGCCTGGATATTGTGTTCCGAACTACTTGATCATCAGGTAAGCGATGCTTTGAAAGTCCCCATGAAAGCTCTGATTGAAGGTATCACAAATTTGCAATCTCCGGCCAGAGAAATGTATAAAACTGGAACGGATGGTCATGGTAGAGCAGAAGTATACGGTGGCCAAAAAGTCCAAGCATATCGGGATAAAACAAAAGACATCGGGCACTGGGAGAGTATAAGAGATCTGATGCCGTGGGTATTCCGTCGGGAATACCGGTTTTTCACACAGCGCGGAGACTGCGTTGATACACCAGACGGAAAGGCGCGGGTTTTATCAGCTCTTCTCTTAAGCATGCTATCGTAGCTGCACCGATCCACGGGACAAGTTCTTCACTCTGTACGGACTGGTCCCTGCCGCCCGGGACGCATTTCCACCGGGCTACAACAAACCCATTGAACAGGTGTTACGAGAGGTAACCGCGTTCATCATGACTCGACGACTGCGCGCGAGAGATTTGTTCGGGCATATTTCTCCCACAGCGATCGATGCGATGAATATTCCATAGATGACATCCTGCATATAATGCGGGAAATCTATCAAAAATCCGCGGGACACTATAGATACATGGATTGTTGCTTTCGCCATCTGAGAGAGGATCTTCATTACATGTGTGGCTGGCAAGTTTTGCTTATACAAAGTCAGGCTATGGGTTCAGTCTCAGTGGCCTGTCGAGAATGGAGATCTGGCTATCTATACCGATAGTGCTCTTCAGCCATTTATTATGCGAAAGAAGTCTACGGGTAAATTCCTAACCCATTACCAGTTGGTGGACCCGGCGTCGACGGCCTAGAAGAGCAACTTCCTACTCACTTCTCAGGTAAGTTCACAGGCCAGCCGTAGGAGTTTCTGATTATTTAGGTCAAGCCTACATTTACTATCCCTTCAGCTCAGATGTGATTAGTAAAGTTTATGTGCCATACGTTTCGTACACGAGATTGGCAATAGTCACATTCCAAAAAAAAAAAAACCGAATACACCTAAACTATCACTTCCGGGATGCAGCGGCTCATCCCGGGATATCTTGGCGCAGCTGTTTTTACACTGGCGCTTTTCGCAATATATCAAAGCCCAGGCCCTTATCTTTCATACCCTTCTATACCCAATAGATCATAACATTATGAACCCGTGGATTTTCCCAACTTTTGCCAAGGCCCTTAGGACCCTAAATGCATTAAGTCATACTAAACTCATACCTTGGTAAATCATAAAGTCTGTCTTATGCGCACTCTGCTCTACCCTCTGGATTTATTCTTCTCTTCTCTCTTATTCTGCTATCTTGGAAAAGCGCATCGATCTTATCAAATTCCGCGTGACCTTCCGTTATCACACCATATCGCAACAACGCAGAACAAGATGGCCGGCAAACTTGCCCTGGTCTTCATATTAATACACTCAATCCAAATTCTCGCCCTTCCAACCCCCTCCACCCCAATCGCATCCAAATCCCTTGCGTCATACAATAAGCGCTACTACTTCCCGGAGACCCTTCCTGATCAAGATGAACTCGAAGCAATATTGAAAGAAACAGCCATGCGCGAAGCAGGCTTCGTGCATTCGTCAATACCATCAAACACGGAGTCTGGACCGGTGCATAAAATGGAGACGGAGCTTCAAAAATCACTTCCGAATCCGGATGCAGCGATCGGCACGGCACCGGCAATCCCGGATAGCACACAAGACACAAAGCCGAAACAGTCGCAGTTCCAGCCTGGTCTGAAACAGTCTCTCGTAACATTGGAATCGGACGATTACCCGATTTACTGGCCGCCGTTTGGATTTTTCGTCGTCTCCGCTGCCATCGTGTGCTTCTTTACCATATTGAGGGGGATCCGTGCGAAGAAGTGAGAATGGACGTGTGGCTGTTGGATTAATTTTGTTGAAATAACTTATCTCACTTCCTTCTTTTCTTGCGCTTTACGAAAAGAAGTCTGGGATTCGGACTATGCGATTTCCCATGGGATATTCCGGTCTTGGGAGCTCTGTCCTTTCCCCACCCGGTCGGAGGCTTGTTTGATTACTGTGGGACTTGCAGTCCCATCCCCATCGACCTCATCCCCATTATGGAATTCCTTCGATTTCGTGGAATACTTTGAGAAATCGGGGAATACTAGCTCTAGAATTAGGGCTTGGGTGGATATCCTGGCACGTCCAACCGTGCGTGACGGCTCGAATGCTGTGATCCAACTGGAACCTTCCCGTACTAATTCGCGCCAAGCAATGAGAATGTCAGTTGAGTGGAGATACTGAGGATGGCACGTTTATGCGACCGGAATGAATTGCTAGGCGCTTTGTGTTCGAGAGTTGCTAAGCAGGCACAGAGGCAACGACGAAGCTTTAAAAGATGGGCAGTTCAGATCGAAGACCCCCATTCTGTTCTTTGGGATCATCTCCAAGGGGCCAATGTATGCTTATTGGTTCTGAATACAAATGCATCAATGATTGCTACACTAAAAAGCACGCGTCATGAACCTACATAGCTAGCACATAGCTAGCTCCTTGAGCTAACGATATATTTGAAAGAAAGCTCTACACAACCCGAAGTAATATCGCAAGCATTCTCATTCTCTATAATAAGCATATATTCTGACGATATGTGCCATCCGAGAATAGATGTAAGAAAAAGACAGAAGAGATGTGATAACAGGTGGATGTGCAGTAGGTAAGAAATCAACCGAAGACACCACACCAGTGCGAGAGTAAGCCATGAGCAGAACCATGAAAATCTTGAACAGATGATAATGATGAAGCCTCCCGGCCAGAAAAATGTTGATTACATTGATGTCTCTCTCGCCCTCTCTTTTTTTTGCATCCCCGCCCCGAGGAATGAGCGGGGGGAAACCAAGAACAGGTAATAGACAAAGTAGGGTAACAATGGATATGTACGCGAGAGATTCTATAAGATAGGGGAAATGAAAAAAGAAGGGAGTAAAAGCGCTGTTGCTCTAAGAATCATCGACAAGACGCTTCTGGGACCAAGCGCGCTGGGCCCCGTCTAGGAGAACATCCATCTGTCCGCTGTTCTCGCACATGCCACGGAATAGGCCGCCTTCTTGGTTGATGAGGGTCCAGGGGTGCTCGTACTCGATGACGCGGCCGTGGTCGAGGACAAGGACCTTGTCGTAGTCGATGATGGTCTGCAGACGGTGCGCGATCGTGATGATTGTGCTATTGCTCAATTCGCGGAGGGTCTCTTGGATCTTGGCGTCGGTGGCGTAGTCGATGGATGCAGTTGCTTCATCCATCATCAAGACGCGGGGGCTCTTGAGCAGGGCGCGGGCAAGGCAGAGGAGCTGTCGCTGGCCTTGGGAGAGGTTGGAGCCGGACTCCGAGACTTGGCTGTCGAGGTTGTTGAAGACATTTTTATTATCGACTATTGTCACTGCGCTGCTGCTCACACCGTTGCCGTTGCCGTTGGTTTCCGTCGCGGTGAAGGAGCTTGCGGTTATGGGCGTTGCGGTGCCTGAGGTGCTGGATCCGATTAGGTGCACACGACGGAGGGCTGAGAAGATCTGCTCGTCGCTGAAGAGATTGAATGGATCCAGGTTGGTGCGTAGGGTTCCTGTGAACAGGGTGGGATCCTGGGGGACAATAGTGATTGACTCGCGCAGGTCGCGCAATCCGATTGACCCGATGTCAACGCCGTCAATGATGATCTGGCCCGCCTCGGCTTCGAGACCGCGGAAGAGAGCCAGCGCGAGGGAGCTCTTGCCAGCACCTGTGCGACCCACAATGCCGACCTTCTCGCCGGCCTTCACAGAGAACGAAACCTCCTTGAGAACCGGGTCCAGATCGGGCCGGTACCGGGTACTGTACTGATTGAACTCGACCGCACCTTGGCTGGGCCAATCGGAAGGAGGACGTGATTCGTCAATAACAGGATCTGCTTCCTGGTCCACCTCGAGATATTCTCTTACACGCTCGACAGAGTTCATGTTCTGCTGGACCTCAGAGTACAGACGCACAAGCCATAGGACGTTCTCTGTGAATGTAACGGCGTAGGTCAATGAAAGACCAGCGGCACCTGCATCGATCGTTCCAACATTCAACAACACAAAGGTAGCCGAGAAGAAGGCGACCAGGGCACCGGTCCAGTCAACACGGAGAGCGAGCCAGCGGTTGCTAGCCCAAAGGTATATGTGTGGCCGGTTGTAAGAGTTGATGCGGCGGTGGTTGTCGACCATGAAGCGAGGACCATCGCCATAGGCACGAATGGTGACGATACCGTTCAGGGTTTCACCGAACTGCTGGTACAGCGGACTACGTTGCACAGATTCCAGACGCTTAAGGTCTCGGGAAGAGTTCAAGTAGACGGCACCAAGAGCAGTGTAGACCATGGTGATGAACACACCGGCAATTAAGAATCCTGGCGTGATCCATGAGATCAGAATCACAATCATAACAACGGATGCCAGACTGTGGAGCATGCCGATCGCAACAGGGGCGACTTCCTGATCGATGGACTCAACATCCTTGGAGAACCGGTTCATCAGTTGTCCAAGAGGCGTGGAGTCAAAGAATCGGAACTTGGCGTGCATGACCGCCTTAAGAAGGCGATCATGAATCTTCCACGATGCATGGAGCGAGCCCCAGAATAGAACAGCTTCCCGAGACAAAGAGATTGCGATATAAAGGAATCCCAGGAGGGCATAAACTCCCAAGTAATAAGCCACGTTCACCTCCCCATCAGACTCGCCGGTAGAGCTTGCGCCAAGCTGGGGCAGACTCCAGCTGCTCACGCGCCCAACATTTCCAACGTTGAAAGTGGGGGGCTTGAGGTGGGCGGCGGCGGCGTACTGTCCGGCATCCTCACTTCCAACCTTGGAGGTATGATAAGAGTTTGCCCACTGTCTAATCCAGAGGTTGGTAGAAACAGAGCCCAATTGTTGTAAGCAGAACACCAGCACAGCACCGATCCAATAATACCATGGGCCCATGGCGCGGAGGTACATGGTGACGGTCGACCACTTGACACTACCAGTAGCTTTGGATTCAGAGAGCTTGGCCTTGTCTTCTTGGGCATTTCCATTCGCGGTGCCGTTCAAATTTTCATCCTCTGGTTCATGGTCCGATGGGGGATGGGAGACTCCACGGGAGCTTGCGCGGGATTGAGGTCGAGACTTGAGGAACTCATCGCCCAATGCACCAGTAGCAGCGACATCGCTGGGACGGCCCTGGGCCGAAATTCTGCCGTTTTCGAGTACCACAACGTGATCCGCTTGGGGAACAGTCAAACTAACGTTATGTGTTACCAAAATGCATGTGCGGTTCAACATCAGAGGGCCCGTAAGAGCTTGGCGGAAGATGTGCTTGGCGGTATGAGAGTCGACAGCAGAGAGACAGTCATCTAGCAGCAAGTGGCGACCACTGCTGTAGATAGCGCGGGCAAGAGAGATTCGCTGCTTTTGGCCACCAGATAAACTGATGCCCTTCTCACCAACAAGAGTTTGATCACCAGCATCAAGGATAGAGAGATCACGTTCCAGAGCGCATGCTTTTAGGACTGAACGATAGCGACGCTCGTCATATGGTGAGGCGAAGATGATATTTTCCTTTACGGTGTCATTGACCAACCACGCTTCCTGGGCACAGTAAGCAATGCTTTCAACCAGGCCAGTTTCAGGGTCCACCGGGAGATCTGCCCTGTTGGACATTCCACCGGGGAGATGGACACGACCGTCGAGAAGTTTCATTTCTCCAAGCATAGCCATGAGCAGGGATGTCTTTCCAGATCCAGTGGGGCCAGCAATGATGTTAAGCTTGCCGATAAGGAATTCGACGTCGATATTGATCAAACGGAAAGCGTCCAAGTCGGCATCGGATGTATCTTGGTCCTCAGCAGTGGAAGTGCTCCAGGAGAGGGTTGCCTTTTCAAGACCAATCTTCGCAGGCATTCCTGCGGTGGTACTATCACGGAGCTGATCGTATTTGCCTGTTTCCTCCTCGTTGAGGTACTTGTCCACACGGTCTAGGGAAACCTTACATTCCTGGACGTGGGCCACCATATCCGCGAGCTGGTCCAAGGGCACACGCAGCAAGGAGAACATTGACAAAGCAGGGAAAGCGATTGAAGGGGTCAACTGTTTTTTCTCGACCACAGTGTACAAGAAGAAGGACATGAACGTGATGAGAATAGGCGTGCCGTACCAGACGGTTGCGGCACAGGACCAGAGGATGTATCGTCTGCGCAGGGCTTTCAGTTCGTTCTTGCGCTTCTCGCCGACAATGTCCTGGAATCGCTGCTCCCAGGCAAAGTACTTGATGATCCGAATGTTTTGGAGGACTTCATTAGTGGCGTGAATACGGGCATCAGTGCCCTTCAAAATCTGGTTCTGAACCTTGTTGAACTGGCGGGCGATGAAAAGGTTGATAGGCAGCATGAGGGCCATCAGGGCGATACCGGCAAAGGAGCTGAAACCCATGATGTGGTAGAGCAAAATAACCGCCATTGTGATCTGGACTGGCACACTAGCCCACAAGAAGTGGAGATAGGCGCCAACCTCGCTTACCTTGAACGAATCGATCGCCATCAAGTTGATGATTGTGCCGACATTGGCTTGTGTGGGCTCCTCTGCCAAGGGGTCTGGCTTCTTGCCAGCCTCGGTATCATTTCTATTCGCGTCCTTCTTCTTGCGACCAAAGGAAAAGAACTTCTTCTTCTTCTTGTCCTTGGGCAAGATTGGATCTTCTACGGCTTTCTGGGCAGCCTCCACAGAAGCGCCTGCCTTGCGGCGAAGAGCTTTCGCATAGATTTCACCAATAATGATCGCACGGATTCTCACACCCATCTTGCGACCAATGAATAAGGCTTGTCCATCTGCCACACCCTGGACCGTGGCGCAACAGAAAAGCAGAATGGCGAACAACCAGGCCGCATTGGGCGTGGTCGACCGAGGATCTTCCACGTACTCAAGGATAGCCTTAAGGAGTAGACTAGGCATGAAAACAAATAGATTAGCAAAGACTGTCCAGGCACCCTGCTTTAGAATAGTCCCCATGAAGAACCGAAGCAGCTTCCATGCCAAAGAGCCTTTCATGTGTCTCTTGCGGAACTCTGTAAGCACGTTCGCGGCCTTCTGAGACGAAGTGAGGTTCCAAACATCCGCAAGCTCCAGGGGTTGCCGGTAGCCCTTCATGACCAAAGGGTCGAGCCAGGAAAATGTGGCAAGGGAGAACAAACTGGCCGTGGGATGCGTCGGAGGCTCCAATCCATCTTCTCGCTCAATCAGAACTGGCTTATTGCCTCGGCGAGTGGTGAGTGCAATGAGCAGCAGCACCGTACTCAGAGTGAACTGAACGGTGCTAAGGATCAGGGCGTTCCTCGACAAGGGATGGATAATAGCAGATCGGAAGACCATGACGTTGAACAACCACTGGGAGCTGTATAGGATTGCCGTATGGGTCCATAGTCTCGGGGCGGAGGAAAGATCCATGGTCGATAGGAGGAACCGGACCAGCACCAAGAAAAGGACATAGCCCCACGATACAAGCCCAGTCGCGGCGGGAAGGGTTCCATGTCGGCCCCAGGCGTGAGTCGACAAAATGACGATATAGACCGCAACTTGTCCAATTAAAGCTGCGATTTCGAGTATTACAACGGTGATCTCTCCGCGCGGGCGGTCGATCTCGACCTGGGATTGTTCGTGTTGTACAGCTTGGGACAAAATTGTATCGGATTCATTTTCCTGGGTCGCACTGGGGACCTCATCTTCGGAGTCATTGTTTGGGAGGACCTTGTAAGCGATACGTTTTCGGGTGACGACATATCGATGGGCGAGGCGGAATAGGATCAGCAGCAGGGAAGCGCCGCAGACTGTGAGGGGAAGTATAACCTGAAGAATGCTAGAAAAATCTTGTGATTAGCATACAATTTCAACGGTCGGAATTATCCATTAGCCTAGACTTACTTGCGCTGGAAGCAACGAGACAGGTCGTCAATAGCCCAGACGGGGCCTTGACATTGCGGCAGCATGGTTGACCGCAAAGCTTGCAGAAAACCGAAGCTCTCAGACCTTGCGCGACTTGATCACACAGCTCTTCAGCTGGCGACAGTAGTAAATGGGTAATACGATCGGGATTTGATTATTGTAAACCCTTTAGCAACAATATTTTACTGGATTGTCGGACAAGGTTGTCATCGCAAACTCGAGATGAACTGTGACGCTGGGGTGAGGGTCCCGGGACCGAGGGCCGTTGAGGCAAAAGAGCAGGGGGGGGGACTACTCAGATTCTGCAAAGCGAAAGATCACAAAGATATTTCAAGTGTTGAGATATGGTCCTTTGGGGAAGGGGGGAAGAGAGAAAATGGCAAATTGTTCCAAAACCGGCGGTGGACGGACTCCCGACAGAGGGTGACATTGGCCACCACCCAATTTTGCTGGTGGAGCGAGGTACCATATACTAATTATTAATATTTCCGCATACGAGGTTTGATCACAATGCTATTATCGACTTAAACTCCTTTGGGAGCCCGAGGGGTAATTGCTTTTTCATCATTGGATTCAGGGATATATGGCTTGTCTCAGTCTGCTTATCGTTCTCCACTGTAAAAACGTCTTATCGTTCTTTATACATCTAGAACCTGGACTACATAGAGCTCACAATATGTATATGGGACACCGGTCAATCTCGATATTTTCGTGTAGCGCTCATGGAGTCACGGAAGAGATGAGATTCAACCTGCATATTAGTGGCGCATCCACTCCTGGTCATCAACAAATGCCTCATGGTAGACATTCATCTCAAGCCAAGCATCTGGATTAAACGTGCGCCCAAATTCAAGATAAAAATGAGTCAGAGTTGTGTTGACGTCTTTACTGCATGTCAGCAACTCTTCTACTCTTCGGTACTTATCTTGAGCATACCATCAAGTGACATGGGATGCGCAGGTCGTAGACTGAAGCGAGAAGTACGCTCACGGAAAAGAATCAACGACTTTGGAATAGCGGTACCTTGTAGGATGTGAAAATTAGTTTGTGCATTTCCAAGGATAAGCGCGTTTAATCACCTTTAGGCATGCTTAAATAATGAGCTTCGGCGGCGGGATCACCACTTTCTACATCTTCCAGGTAATAATCATTCGACATCCGTGTGACTCCTGCATGTAGTGCGTATTTGGCATGAATAATGCACCATTCGAAACTAAATAGGTTAGCAGGTGAATAACACGAAGTTGCATTCGCATACAATCGGCAGTTATATTCGGGTGCACCAAGCCGTCCGCAGTGACTTCTATTCCTTTCTCGTATTCCCAGTCATCGCGTTTAAAGGTTCTGTCATAAAGCCTCGAGTCACGGTGTATCTGAAATCGATACAGGCTTGCTGGAAAAGCTGAGTACCTCGACATATATGACAAAGAGCGATGATTCGGGGGGCGTGGGATGCTAAGCGCCGCAGCCTGCATGTACAAACGGTATTATTATCCCGATCTTGAATCGAGAAGCACAAAGCCTTAATAAGATACATCGTAGAAGTTTACCGAAAAAGGAAGCTCGATGACGAATTAATCACATCACCAGGAGGTATACTGGGATCTTGATCTGAGCATCCGGTGTGCTTCTAAGCTCATCTTGGAGGACTGGCGTGAGTGGATGAGCCCGTCACCCAGTAAGTAATAAATTCTAAATTATACTATATAACTAACTAGTATTATAGAATGTGACCCGTATTCGGAGCTATTATCTTGTATGCAATAATTAAAGAATGGTGATAATTGGTAGTCACTGTCAATACTTGTGGAGGAGCTCATCTACTAGGCCGTACAAAACTGAGTTTCTTTTTTTTTATAAACGTAATAAACACATAATATTAAGGTTTTTCTTTAAACTTAGCTAGCACTAGCACGAAGCGTAGTAATTAGCTTTATCTAAAGACCTATTAACTAGTCTTCCTGAACGGTGCTGTTTTCTGTAGCCACACGTCTAGTGCTATTATGTTCTCGAGCGCGTCTACTGGCTCTGTAGTTAGTTTCGTATAACCTAACCACTTAACTTTATAGTTCGTACGAGCATTATTCTTCCTGCGTGTTTATGTCTTATCTATAATTTCTTTAATCTCCCATTCCTCTTAGTTATCCACTATAATTACCGGTGGTTACGGTTCGTGTGTAAGTTAGGACGGAAGGGGGTCTCGTGTCGCGAGTCGTACGAGATTAACGTAGAACACTAGATGGATACCGGGTAGTATATTCAGTTGTACAGCATAAGACCTAGAGAGGAAATCCCCACTCGGCGTACATTGTCCTGTGTATATGGGGGCATAAGTAGTCGACTGATTATTCCAAAACCCACTCGCTAGATTATAATACGCTTCATATTCCCCAGTTGAGGGTTGTTTGTGAAAGCGAGCTCAGGATGATATTAGGCTACAGTGGCTTTTATTGATTTATAGTATGTTTGCCTATTATACGGCCAAGAGACGGGAGGAGGTGGATATACTAGTTTGAGGCTCCTGAAATAAAGTTGCCCAAGCTTTCAGACTTGGCGCGGAAGATACCGGCGGTTTGACATCTCTTCACAGTTTCCGTATTTTTATACACATAGGGTGATGGTAAGTCTTGAATGTCGGGCCAAAGGTCTGAACGCTAGAACCAACCATCAATTGAGAGACAGTCCATAACTTCTTTATTGTTCTTTCTATCAACCGTACACAAGAGGATTCGACCGCGTATGCGGCCTCTATCCATAAGGACGCAGGTCTTTAATATCCGTCCAGAGGCCCACTCCACCGCCTCGTGAATCGCTGGCTCTTCGCAGCCAGAAGAGCTTCGATTTTCGCATTAAGCTCTTTAATGTCATTATCAATCAGTACTAGTATTTCTATTGGGGGACCATGTTACTAGTGCCTTCTACTGTCATCTTCTTCCGGGCTTGTAGTGGGTAATGATCCCGAAATTCATGGACGAGAATGAGATCCTCGGGGAGAACAGATCCTCCATAGCTCAAGTCAATGAAGGAAGAGGTCTTTCAAGAATTTAGAGTAACGAACTAGCTATAGAGTAGCTATTCCGGGGTTTGACAATGCGAACGAGATTCTGCTGTGTTCTAGAGTTGGGACGCATTGAAGCATCATTCGGGACTAGGATATATTGAGCTGAATGTTTTGAGTCTATCGTTAATTTACATTCATAAGAAGCTGAGCCAAGAGACTTCGGTTGTACGTTTCCTGCAGTTATAAGCAGGCCAAACACACCGTGTGGTCGCCTAGGGCCTGGCCAGGCCCAGAGCCGAATAGAGGTGCCGGAGTTCACGCGGAACATATTATTGGGAATTTGAATGAACGATTGAATGAATCTTCTCTATTTTAAAATTTTAAGGAGTCCTTGCAGGGATCAAAGGTGAGGTGTATTCGAGTGGTTTAGGTATAATACAAAGCAGGATGTTACATACTTTACAACCTTGGAAGGTCACCTGGAAAAGAAGCTCAATGATGAGTCAATTAGATCACTGCTACTTCGTATAATCTGCGAGGTCATTGCCGCACATTAATAGAGAGTTGAATTACGAAGAAGTAAAGCATAGAGAATAAGATTCCATAGTTGGCCGCTCATGCCTATGTACTTGATTTCCTCTGCCACTTCTTGGCGTTCGCTTTCCGTATCGTTCAAGGCATCCAGCTCCACGTGGTTATATGGCTTGGAGGCCTGTGCCTTTCGAACGCTAGAGCTATCAAGTTCAGTGCCAGCTAGAGGGATTTGTTTGTAGATACGCATAAAGCCGAAAATTTGCGCGTTCCCAGCACCTGTAAGGCGACAAAGATATTTCCCAGCGGTGTATGCAGGGCCCATACCATCGCGGAAGTCCTCTGGGGTAACAGGGATTGGATCCTCACTCAACTTTTCGATAATGATCCAGTTACGACGGGGATAAAGAACAGAGTCCGGAGGCTTTGTGGTGATCGTTTCACCAATCATCTTGGGAAGAACTGGATGAGGTTCCATTTCAGGCATAGTGGGCGTGAAAAGAGAAGATGGTAAGAAATGAGAAAGGGGAAAAAGGTTGGATGAAGGTGAAGATGAAAATGATGACAAAGTTGTTAGGTGAATCTTAAGTTTAAGCCCATGCAAACATCCATATATCAGAGCATAAAATTAGTTTCCCCGGTACTTAGGTGAGAGTACTTGAGTAAAGTCGGCATATGCGACCGATGTACTCAACAAAGTAGGACTTTAATAATATGATCTATCTGACCTAAGATGATACAAGGGAGACGTATGTAAGACAACACTCCGACCTCGGGATGTCTTTTTGGGTACTCTTCTGGGATATTCCATCCCTTTTTATGAGAATTTGTCGGTCTCGCCCGAACTGAAGCCGGAATCTTCTTAAAGGCATCTGGCAATCGATGCTTTATGATTTTCAGTCCATTTCCGAGTGGTAAGGCAGTTTGTGCATCGTGAGTATTAACGTGGATATTCGACCCGCCGTATCTAGGCTTGTCAGCTTTTTTCACACGTCTGTGGAGGATTTAGTTGAAATGAAATACCTCAATAAGTTGACACTGACAATTCGTAGGTTTCCTCTCTTACCAATAGTGAGTCCTACTGAGGAATACACTTTGTTACATTTAACTTGCCTTTACTTTGACTCGCCTAGGCTTATCTGCGTACCGCCGCTCGCGTTATTCTACCACAAGCGCACCAACAACTTTGGGGAGACAGACACCTCGTTGTACTCATTCTACTAGTCAAACTCTGCCTAGCTCAGCTCGTAGTATCTTATCTAGGCGACAGGGCCCACCCAGGCACCGTTGTCTGTCAATAGAATTGTGATTTTAGAATGCTCAAGGCAAAAATTAACAATAAGTAACATACAATAGTAATGATATGAATAGTACCCCGTTGAAATCAATTAGGCAACTATCAGAAGAAAGTGTAAGAGTGTAAGAGTGCTGAAGGTGTCTATAAGTACGAAAGCTTCTCTCTTGTCCACCTTCTCTTTCCCTTCCACATTGCTCTTCCTCTCTAACTATTTTAAATCCTCGAGTTGTTAACATCCCTCCCTTCGATTGCTTCTCACCTAGCAATTTGCGAATATCAACGAGGTCTTTTGCTAGCTGCTTTGCGCTCTAGACCGCTATCATCTGCTCTTTCTGCTTTACATTTCTTCGCTCTTATCCCAGCCTTCAACTCTCAATTCTCTCTCAGCCAGCTCTCAGCCATCCCGTCATTGTGGCTACACCACGCCGGGTCTTTTCACACGAGGCAGTAGAAAGTCGTCTTCCTAAACTTCTGCTGGCCCCTCACAAAACCACTTCCCCCGCAATGCACTCGACCACCTATACTGGTCCTCTATATCTATGGTCGAACTTTGAGACAAATGTCCAGGCCAGCATGCCCACTCGTTGGTCCCACGTTGTCATCGATCATAGCCTTCAATCCCGCGATATCAGACGGGAGGAGGCATATGTAGGCGATGAAACGGGCCTTCAGGGACGGTTTGAGCAGGTTGTTGGCCATGTTCTTGGGGCAGTCTTCAGTGCCGAGAATGTGAACATTCGCTTCGCAGACTATAAGTCCACTAGCACTAGCACTAGCTACAGCAAGACACCCGATGTCTCTCTGGTGTTATACCCCCCCCCCCCCCACAGTTACTCTTAAAGCCGTCGGTGAACTGAAAGTTCCGTGGGTTGATAGCCACAACTTGATGGACCGGTATCCGAATGAGCAAAGCTGACGTTCTACGATTGGGCAAGTCGTGGAATACATGATCGACCAGAGGGTTGCATATGGGTTCCACTCCACCTACGACCACACCGTCTTCTTGCGTCAAGTCCAGGTTAATGGCACATGGAGAGTGGGGTGCTCACACATTATCGACAACAACAGGACCACTGGAGTTTCAGTCAAGCAATGTTTCTGGTACTTAGCATTGCTGGCAGCTGCAGGGCAGCCTGTCCAAAACCCCAATGCAAAGTCTCGGTTGATCTCACATCTCCGACGTCCTCATTTGTGGTGTGTCATGGCACTTGCTGTTTTTCTTTCTTCTGTTTTTGCATAAACTCCCTTTTCTTGATTCCCCTAGCTTTTCCTTTTCCAGCGTAGGTCTTACATCGTAAATATCTAAAACTGTAGTTTCGTATAATGGCTGGGCAATGTGGATAATCATGACATGACTCAAGGGCAGCAGCTACAGCTCCAATTGTATCAATACAATCATACTTCCTTGCCAAGCTCGCAGACCACACCCACAGTCACAGCTATGTTTGATCAAACAGATCCTAATAGCGGCCGTCAGATTATAAATCTTGTACGTCAGAATCCATCGGGAGGGCCAATGTTGTCGTAGCCTACTTACCGAAAAGTGATATTGGTAACTCTTTTGCTTTGCCTTTGTAAACCAGATGATTGTGACTTATGTCCACCAAGGATAGTTTTCTGGTTGAAATTGGCGACAGAATTGCACCTGAGATTGTGGCCGGTGATATAGTAGTCAGTACCCCAGTCAGCCAGTTCCCTAGAGTGGTCTAAATAGACTTTGGGAAGACGAAAGATGGTGGTATGTTCCGGCAGGTCGAGTGGCTGAATAACCCCATATCTTGGCTACTAACAGCTTTATCTAGTCTGGAGACAGAACATAGTTGATATGGCCTAAGATGCTACTGAGACAGGAACGCCCCACTCGGCAGAGGAAATCAAGGAGGTATAGCTACCTAGGTACGCCTCTATCATTAGGTAACGACGTATGAATATTCAATTTCTCGAGTCAGTGTCCTTTTATTATTATTTTTTATGTCTTTTCTATTTATTACACATACTGTTATTAAAAGGATGAGAAAACAATGTGTAAAAATATGAAGTGTAGGTGATTACAATGTAGAGAATAGAGACAATTGAGAATAAATTCTAGTGGTAGGCATTTTCGGACTTCAATATATTCTCCGGACCTCGGCAGGTGGCGGACGCCCCATCTTAGTCACAGTCGCCACCGAATTTTCAGGCACCCGTCGGTCCCAATAGGCATAATAGCCCCGATCCTCGTGATCCCATTATTGCCTAACATTTTGGATTCAATACCGCTTTGGCTTCATTTTGCCTAGCTGCCTTCGCCGCCTACCTATATAAGAATTGATTGCCCCAAATCTCTCACGACATCTTTCTAGCTACAACGTCCGCAAATTTCCGTGATCGTCGCCATGGCGGAGCGCATCCTCATGAATGAATTCAAGGCCCTTCTCAAAGAGAAGTGGGTTCATGTCCAAGTGCGTTCATCATTTTATTACTCCGTAGTGTCTTTTTGACACTTCCACACTTGCAGATTATTGACATCTGTATAGTTGCACAATGACGACATTTTCAACTGGGATGTCGCCCTGATCGTGATTAACCCAGACTCCATGTACTACGGCGGCTACTTCAAAGCCTCTATGACGTTCCCCTCCAACTACCCTTACTCCCCACCAAGTAAGACATCTCCCTCTCTCCCCCTCCTCGTATTTCAATATGACTGACGAGATTTTCATTACCATTAGAGTTCCGCTTCCTGAAGCCCCTCCACCACCCGAACATCTACACCAACGGGAACCTTTGCATCTCCATCCTTCACGCGCCCGGCGAAGATGAGATGTCCGGCGAGCTTGCCTCGGAGCGTTGGTCCCCTGCCCAGCGCGTGGAGTCGGTCCTGATCTCCATCCTCTCTCTTCTTGACGATGCCGAGCCTTCCTCCCCTGCGAACGTCGACGCTGCCGTCATGTTCCGCAAGGACCCAGAATTCTACCGCGAGCTTGCCAAGGCCGATGTTGAGCAGTCTAAGTTCGACATTCCCGATGGCTTCGAGATGCCCACACACGATACTCCCGTTCGTGAGCCCGTTGAGAAGGAAGACCATGACTTCTGGGCTGATAGCGATGCCGACAGCGATGTGTTCGGAGGTAGTGACTCCGACGACGAACTCGACATGGGCCAGTCCAGCGGGAGTGATCTAGAGGTGGACGAGGATGAACCGGGCAACGAGAATTCCACAGAGACCAAGAAGGCCTAATGAACTTCCGCATACTTTTCATCCGGGGAGTTGCTGCATGATCAACGATTTCACGGCTACTTCTCCGAGCATATTCAGCATTCTCGGCGTACCATTCTGATATTTCATACGATAGGCGTTTAGCGGGGGCATTTTCGAGCATTATGGGTCTTATGGTTTATGATAACATGCAATACGCGGCTGCAATGTTCCACAGATATTTTAACGAAATGAAATCAAATTCTAACATTCAAATCTCAAACTTTCGGCCGCATTAGCGTTAGCTGTACCTCTACATCATTCACTTAACCCATGGATGTCTAGATATTAGAGGCCAAGTCTCTCCCAGTTAAGGCATACCGTCCTGAAAGGCCTTGTTTAAAAAAGAACCAAAAAGATTTTTAAATCAAAACTGATATCGAGCTAGCCCTACTGTCAGTATGTACGGACAGGACGTCCCGGGGTAGGAAAGACTGGGGATACAAAAGAACTTCATGTATCTAGTTTAACTAGTTCTCCGCGTTCAATCCATCCATTGTTGTTTGTATCTACTGTTCAGAACCTTTGGGGACTCGTACAACTTGATTATAACTTGACAGCACTACGAATAGACCTATACTCTGGTGTTGGTTAGTTCGGCGCATCATGTCGCATCGCTCCTCGATTCCTCAAAAGGACTTAGTGTAAGATCCGAGGGCAGCGGTACGGTTGAGAGTACAGATCGTTGACGTTGGAGGCTGAAAAACATCAGGCAAGTATAAACTAGGAACCTTACAACAAGCGACGACCCGATAAGTCGTGCGCAACACCAACTTAGTATCTTACGAGTATGGACATTATACCAATTGAGAGATTAGAAAGTGAAAACTCTTCAGCGTGAGCTAGGAGGGCACTGCTTAGCCGCCTTTCTTATAATCAATGCATCGGCACGAAGTTGGACTACTATTAACTCATTAATCATTCATCTTGCCTGTCATAATCTGACCAGTGAGCTGCCTGTGGGCGACTCAAGACTCCGTACGTCACATAAAGGCTACAGTGCTACGAATCACCAAATAGAATAGGAGACTATCGGCGGTTTTCCTTAGTTATAACGAAATGGGGCGAATAAGTCCTATCAAAAGTAGGCCTTATAGCTGCATCTCTTTATCATCGTGTACCTCATAGATCATATTTATGAACAAAGAACCATAACTACCAACAAGGTACATATTTTGACCATGAGACCGTTTGATACGCACTCTCTGGCAATACTCTTAGTCCAATCAAGTCTTCTGTTAAGATAAAACCCCGACCCACACAATAAAAGACACAGACAAAAAAAATTGGAACCAAAGCTCGAAGGGGGATTTCTAAGTTAGGATCCTGCTCAGGGTCAATGTTCCTAAGCCTCTTAGCAAGACGGCTGAACCATCCGGTTCTGGGCTCTTGTTTCCGCTTTAATGAAGCCTGGGTCCTTGCTTTTGTGAACCCTGGCTGAAACATTTATTTATGTAGGTATAGCGAAAGAAGGCCTCCGACTAACCCATAGTCTAGCGTATTGACGCTAGCGATACGCAAAAGTAATTTCTCTGTCGCGGAAGGGAAGTCAGAATTCCACGTAACAAGAAATATAGAGCTGAAGAGAAGTATCGTTAGGGCACAGATTCTCTCCGCCTGGGTGTCCACGTTTAGAAAAAAACGACTTAGGATGCGATCGTATGGTCGTCGCTTAGGCCGAGTAAATAGCGGTGTATGCATGTAATGTAGGATCTGGATATAGTATTTCTAAAATCTAGAACAAAACCACTCATCCCGCGAGAGGAACTCGAGGGGTGTTTCATACCACTTCGATTCGGAATGTCGATCAAGATTGCTCCGAATTATAGCCACAGATTTCTTAGGCCACAAAATGATTGGTCTGTTGATATCTATGGGCTTATGATACCAGCAGTATGATGTGACGAGAAAGACCAGGATAAAGGAGAGAGTAGTAAGCTCGAGGGAAGTAATGAAAAGCCCCTGAGCAAAGCGAAAGATACAGTTGAAGGAGAACCAAAGGGCTTGGGCTATTGTAATCAATCTGTCTAAGTCAGCATAGATAGAAATGAGATTGTAGTTCAGATAAGTCACCTAGCCAGTCCATCCGATTTACTCTTATCTTTGATTTCTTCCTCTTCTAAACGTGGGTATTCAATATACTCCTCCTTGACAAGGATATAGAGCTGCTGGGCGTCCAAAGGGAACGATGGTAAAAGGTCTATTTCCGGCGGTTCGATCCAAAAGCTTCCGATATTGGCAAAGAACGCGTGCTTGATAGTCCAGTTCTTACATCCGGCCTCGTGGAAGTCCTACGCTATTAGCTTTAACGTTAATCAGACCTAAGAGCAGATTATCACTAACTTAAACTGAACGGCGTGCAGATGACCATTGGCCAAGAGCTATCATCAATAGAAATTCAGATCCAAGGAGCGCAATACAAGCAAGATCGAATTTGTATCTCCATTTTTTAAACGCACCGTCGGTCTGGGCAGGCAGGTTTGGAGATACGGATGTCCAGCAACAGAGAATGATTGTGAGAATGCAAGTTGATAAGATGCCCCACGTCCCTCTCCCGTCGGGCTGATGGACCCAGGCACTGTGGGTGGGTGGTCGTGAGAGTGTTGTTCATAGTTGAACAATATGTAAATAAGTTTTAGGATCAGGGTTGGAAAACTTATAGCTATGTTGTATAGAGCCTAGAATTTCATTTTGGAACTACGGTTTGATTAGTTACGCGCCCCTAAGACTAATGGATATGCACCTAAAAAATAGATAGCAGATCGGCCTGAATACAGTAATTGCTGAATCTGCCCTAAGATAACGACATCACGCATGGGTACTACGTGCCTCGACCGCCCAGAACGCCCGTCAGGGCTTTGCAAGCTTAGAAAAGACAAAACTCTAGCAAGCCTATTCAGTTCATAACCGCCGACTCAATCCTCGGGTGGATATGTGCATATGCCAAGAGACTAAGAGGTGGATCAGGCCCTACCCAATCAGGCTATATCTAATTTTAGCATAGGGAAAATGAATGCATCATATAGTCTGGCCGCGTACAAGTTTTCGAGCTCCAGGCGGAACTAGATTTATTTGTGAGTAATTCTCTCAATAAAATTGAAATATACCTGGGTATTCACTACCGATTGAATTAAATTTGAATACAAAGAACCGGCTGATAGCAATGAATAGAGAATGGCATGTCTCTCCAATCTGTTAATCCTGGTCGGTTGGAGCCGGCGTTATAACCTAGTAAAATCATTCGTGAATTTAAGGACATCTGATATAAACACAAAGAAAATATACTGCCTAGGGACCATTAAAATGGTTGGGGTTGATGTTGCGGATGTTGAAGAGGTTGTTGTGGATGTGCATCCGCTTGTTCTGGAGTTAACGGGGAAGACGGCGCCGAGGGACGGGTTGGAGGCTAAGTTTAGTGTTTATCATGGTGGTGCTGTGGGTTTGTTGTTAGGTGAGGTTACGCCGGGGCAGTATGAGCATGATGTCGTGCTTGATAGGCGGGTTGTGGCATTGAGGGCTCGGTTCAGGGCAGTTCCCCGCCGAGAGTTCGCGGGCTGATGAGTGTGACCTTGTTGTGAAGGTGAGGGGAGGGGCTAGCATTGAGAAGCATGTCGACTATGTCGTGGGTAACTTGGAGCGCCCCATGACGAATGAACAGTTAACCGTAAAGTTCGTTGACTAGTGTGTTGGGATTCCGGGAGAAGAGCGGACTGACAAGGCGAGTCAGCGGTATTGGAATTTAGAGCAGGCCGACACGGGCCGAGTCAAGGAGGTGCCTGTAGGGCATATATTGAATATGACTACATTTACTTGCTAGGGCCTGGGCCTACTGGTCCTATCTTACAGAGTGTAATACCGGAGAAATCATTGGTCTGATAAATCGAAACACATTCTAAATCAGTTATGGTTGTAGACGAGTATGCTACGTGAAGTAACAAAATAGCGAAATAGCAAAGAACAATCTGTGTATAGGAGCGTAGTGGCGGGGTAGACCCGCGGATTCGTGTTGGAGAATCCAAAAAACCGAAATAAAACCAAAGAAAATATGATGTGCGCCTGTGTTAATCCATTCATCCATATGCCCGAGATGTTGGGTTTGTCACTGACATAACCCTAACAACCTTCTAATCTATGCAGAGACAGCATCTTTGATCTCGCTGTAGATAGCGCCAAGCTCCTTGTGGAAGGCCTTCTCGGCGTTATCAATGATGCTGCCAATGCGCTCCTCGACAGTGAGGTCCTTGGCCTTGGAACCAGCCTTGTGACCACCTTCGGCTAGGATCTTGGTGTAATTGGAGGAACCACCACCGTTCCAGGCCAGAAGCTAAGATAAAGTCAGCTTAATCCATGTTCATTTAGATAAGAGAAGAACTTACGTTGGGGGTGTCGGAGGGCATGTCAGTAAGGGCACCTTCGGTGGCGATGCTGATAAGAGCGGCCTTGAGCTGCTTAGGAGTGACATCGGCGACGGCATAGGCCGAGTCCTTGGCGGGTGCCAGGGAGACGTAGTAGGCCAGCAAACCGGCGATGTGAGGAGAGGCCATGGAGGTGCCGGAAATGGTGTTGGTGGCATGCTCGCTACCAACCCAGGTAGAGAGAATGTTCAGACCAGGGGCGAAGATGTCAGTGCACTTGCCGTAGTTGGAAAAGTAAGCACGCTCATCAGCCAGGGTGGAGGCGCCGACAGTGATGGCCTTCTCGGCGGCAGCAGGGGAGTAGTTGCAGGCGTCAGCGTTGTCATTACCGGCAGCAACAGCGAAGTGAATACCAGCGTCAACAGCGGCATTCACAGCGAGATCCAGGGTGCGGGAGCTACCGCCACCAAGAGACATGTTGGCAACGCTACCCTTGAACTTCTTATCGCCCTTCTTGGACTTCTTGATGTGAGCCTCGGCCGCCCATTCAACGCCCTTGACGACATCGGACATAGTACCCGAGCCATTGGAGCGAAGAACCTTGACAGCGTAGACGTTGGCCTTCTTGGCGACACCGAACTTCTTGCCGGCAATAGTACCAGAGCAGTGAGTTCCGTGGCCATTTCCATCCTCATCGGCATCGCCCTGGGGAATGGTCTGGCCCCAGTTCGCACGGCCCTCGAAGTCAACGTGCTTAATGTTGGTACCAGTATCAATAACGTAGGCATCGACACCCTCACCACCCTCCTCGGCATACAGATACTTGTTAAAGTTGCCGAAGGAGAGGCTTTCACGGTGAGAGATACGGGCAAGGCCCCAAGGGGCGTTCTTCTCAACAGTGCCGTCGGTCATGGTACGGACCTCAGAGTCCTTCTCGATGTATTCAACCTGTTTTGAGTCAGATTAGCCGCCGATCTCGGGAACTTCCGCAAGAAGGGAATGGGATTACTCACATCAGGATGACGGCGGACCTGCTCGATGACCTCCTCAGGGAAGTGACCAGCATATCCCATGAGTGATCCAGCAATGTGGAAAGTGTGCTTCAGGCCCATGAAAGCCTCATAGTCGAAATCGAACAGGGAGCGCTTCTTCAACTCCATCCGACCGGTGTGAGCGGTGTGCACCTCCTGCAACCAGCTCTGATGAGCGGACGCAGAGCTCTGGTCAACGTGCTTCTTAAACACAACGATGTAGGAATCTGGGATATCTTGGGAGGTCATGGAGGAGAGGATAGGAGCGGCGTCATTGTGGATGGAGCCTACTGCCACGGGCGTAGCAACTACCAACAACGGCAGCAGTGTTAGGCTGAGGAAGCCTTTCATACTGGGCAAAGTGGAAAGGTTAACACAGCAAAAGAACGGTAGATAGGTAAAAAATAATTGTAGGTTGGGAATGATGGGTGAAGGATAGGTTGGATGGAGAGGAGAAGAGAGAAGATGAGGAGAAGGGCAGCAGGTGAGGCTTATCTAGGGAGGAGACGGGGGATCGATGATGCAAGCGGGATTACATACGGTTACGCTGGCGGATGACCTGTCGATGTCGATCTAGTGGATAATTGACTGAGAACGGGGTACCCGATACCGTATGGTATGGTCACCCTTGTTTCAGGAACCTTGGAAGTTGGGGAAGATAAAAAGCATCCACCTGTCATGGTTTATGACTATCTTGGAGTATCATTTAAGTTGTTTGCATATTGTCCGGGCACAATTAAGAGGTGAAATAAAGCACCTATAACAAGGTGGTGCAGATGGTCATCTCCCCCGGGTACCTGGGCAAGCCTCAACTTGCTATAGGCCATAGGCAACCTCCCCCTCGCACGGCCCAGTTTCTCCAAGGCAACTCATCCTCCGAAGTCGCGTGCTTTGTGCTCGGGTGACTCAACTGCTATCCCTTGTCTTGTATGAGAGTGCCATTATTGGATACAACTCACTCAAATCTGCGGAGAAGCCATCACATCATAGGATCGCTTTCAAGCTTCTCCACATTGCTCACAGATACCCCTTATCGTGCTTATCATGTCCTATCAGTGGTAACTCTCAATACCATTCCAATACAATACAATAACAAGGCTGTGTGTCCAGCCCCTCGAGAGTCACCTGATATTCAACTTTCCCCTCTCCCCGATAGCGAATTACAGAGGTGGCTGAATATTGGACATGGGGTTCTGCGGATGACGACTGCTGCAAATTTTCCTAACCGCCTGTCTTCCTATCTTGGCATTAGCACTTTCACATACCAATGCAGACCACTGTACCCGCTATTGAACATTCACGGTCTCTGATGGTCATACGCCATCGGAGCGGACGTGGATAAGATTTGGCTATGGCTCCGCCGGCTTCCCTCCACCCTCCCTCCCCTTCCGGATCGACCGAACGATTGGCCGAAGAGCTAGCCCCAATTATTGGCCAGCTCAAAAGCGTCGGTGCGGGCACCGCGCTCACTCTGCCACAAGTCCTGTCGACGACCGAATCTCTTCTCCGCCTGCGCCACACCTTCATAGATGATGCACGTCCACGCACTGCCAAGGATGCATTCCGATACCTCCAGGGGTTTCAAACGCTGCTGGCGTTGGCGGACCAGGTAGCCGAGCTATACGATCCGGTACACCAATCAAAGGAGGAACGAAAAGGCCTATTGGGTATCTTCAAAGACGTTCTCGGTGTATTGGCAGAGGGCCTCAAGGACCATTTTGGCAACAAGCGATATTTTGCTCGGAAGATAGTAGGGGGAGGTATTGCTGCACTGGAACGAATTCTGACCGCGCTGGTCAAGAAGATAGACAAAACTGAGGGCGACGCGCAACATCTCTACGGTGCCATTTTGGCCGCAGCTCTATGCCAGGAGACAGTGTCGGGTATTTTTGTAACACTGAGTACCAAGTTTCCCGAGCATAAGGACTCTCCGTCTCCGAAAGAGGTCCAGGATGCTGTGGATCATTCCATTGGATCAGCCGAGACCGTGGAAGTGCCAGAACTACTTGGCCCATTCCTTCGTGTGTGGCTGATGCACTCCTCTTCTTCATCTGGATATGACATATTACGCCTGGCATTGCCGGCATGTCTCTGCCAATTGGCCTCGCAGTCTCGGAGGAACGTCGTAGCCTTGCATGCCACTGATATGCTCACCTCAATCCTACCCCTCTTATTCGATGGTGGACGATCAGACAAGGAGAAAGAAATTTACCAAGATCTTGCCCAATTCCTCAGCGTTCAGGGCATGAGTAGCTTGGACGATGCTGTCGCCTTATACCGCGGAGCCCATCAAAACCCGCAAGTTCTAAAAGTCCTGTTGTCTGCTCTCAAATCCTCTAAGGAGCCCCCGTCAATACAGTTCGATATGTCCCGCCATGGATACTGTTCAGTCGAGTTCGCAACACTCGGTCGACCATTTCCCCCATCAATTCCTCCGGCTACACTCTTGCAGCCTGGGCCCGTTTCGACGAATTCGATCCCAACACGCATACTACTATCTTTGGAGCATTTGATGCAAGCCAAACATGCTTTATCCTTGCCTATCTCGAAAAGGATACTCGTAACTTTATTCTTCAAACTTCGATTCGAGGTTCCCGTCCCAGTGTTCGGTTTAAGTCGGCAAAATTCGAGCCAAATCGCTGGTACCATATTTGTGTTGTTCAAAAGAGACCCAAGCCAATGTCTTCCTCCCGCGCATCACTTTTTGTAGACGGCGAGTTTGTTGAACAACTGAAGATCGAATACCCATCCGTCCCTATAAGCCATCATTCAAGCAAGCCATCGCGCGTGCAGGCATTCTTTGGCACCCCTCAAGACCTGGCAATGCGTCTCGGAAAAGGCGTTTCTACTTCCCGATGGTCTCTTGCCAATGGGATGCTTTTCGACGAGGCTTATAGCGATGACATGGTAGCTGTTTTCTACAACCTCGGGCCTCGGTATTATGGAAATTTCCAGGATTGCTTAGGCTCCTTCCAGACGTACAAGGCCTCCGCGACTCTCAACCTGCGGAATGAACATCTTCACCCAGGCAAAGAGGAATCCTCGGATATTGTCACTGCCATCCGCAGACGGGCGAGTACATTAGTTCGTGAAAGTTCGATTTTGATCAATGTCTCTTCCGTCGCCGTTCTGGACGACGACGATAGCAACAATGTCGACGAATCACAGTTGA